TAATAACTAGTGAAAAAAGAAAATTAGACAATTGAGGAGAGGGGGAGGGACCGTTGGCACCCCCCATTGGTCTTGGTAATCGGACCCAAATTCGGGATCGACAACAAAACTAAGGGAGGTAGTCTCGCGGGACCCTCAACCCCTCAGCTTCCTTTGTCGCACTCCATCACTCATTTGCTGCTCGCTAGCCTCATCCCCGTACCTGTAGTGTGAAGCTCTAATGTCATAACTAATAGGGCTAGACCCAAGTCTGAACTTAGCACGTGCAAACTTCCACTTAAGCAGTTTTGCACTGTGCTTGACCTACTAATTGTGCCAAGGCCACACCTTGGCCTATCGGCTGAACCCACGACCATCGGACTCCCACACTCATCACGTAGAGAGTCAGGTTTGCTTATTGTCTACCGTGTGGGTGTGGGGAACGCAGCCCTAAGGTAGTCAAATCAATGAGATTAAGTGCTTGCACAAGAGAGAGAGAGAGAGAGAGAGAGAGAGAGAGAGAGAGAGAGAGAGAGAGAGAGAGAGAGAGAGAGAGAGAGAGAGAGAGAGATTTGTTCCATTTTATGTTATGAGTGTGAGAGAGAGACAGAGAGTGAGAGAGAGAAAGAAAGAGAAACAAAGATAGAGGGAGGGGGGGGCTACCAGAGAGAGAGAGAGAGAGTTTTGTTCCATTTGTTGATACGAGTGTGAGAGAGAGAGAAAGAAAGAGAGATAGAGAGAGAGGGAGGCGGGGGGCCTACCAGAGAGAAAGAGAGAGAGAGAGAGAGAGAGAGGTTGAATGGCAAATTGCGGCCGCGATCTATTTCGCAGTTGGAATGATTTTTTTAAATTTATTTAGCGTTTTCCTGGAAAGATCACNAGAGAGAGAGAGAGAGAGAGAGAGAGAGAGAGAGAGAGAGAGAGAGAAAGAGAGAGAGAGAGGTTGAATGGCAAATTGCGGCCACGATCTATTTCGCAGTTGGAATGATTTTGTAAAATTTATTTAGCGTTTTCCTGGAAAGATCACAACAAAATCTATGAGTACTCCAATTTCAAGTTTTTTCACGCATTCTTCTGAGAGTGAAAACTCACTGAATTTGAAGTACTTTTTAAGTTGGCCCACACATGGCTGAGTGGCAAAAATGAAAAATGTACCGAATCGGCGCGACAATCATTTTTCGGTCTAAATGATTTTTTAAAAATGTTCTAATGCTTTTCCTAAAAAGAACACGACCTCATATATGAATTCTCAAAATTTTAGATTTTTTCTACGGGTTTCTCCGAGCACAGAAAATTGCCAAAGGTGCCTTTTGCAAAATGCCTGTTTCGTTGCGCCTGACGTCCCTGTTTTGGAAAGACGGGCCTCAACGCCTGGGCCTGAGGGCCCTTACCCCATCCCCACTTCTTTTTGGGTCCAATTCCACCCGAGGACCGGTCCTTCCTTTTTTCAAAAGTCCCGGTTCTACCAGAGCTAGCTGTAGGTAGTCCGCAATTTTGGCAAGGACCGGTTTCCCAATTTTTTTTGCCCCCTAAGAACCCACTTTGGGTGCTGGTCGCCCGCCGCCAAAAATGCGACACCTTGACACAAACGTCGAACCCAGTAGACCGCAGTTGGAATGATTTTTTTAAATTTATGTAGCGTTTTTCCTGGAAAGATTATAACAAAATCTACGAGTACTCCAATTTTCAGGTTTTTTCACGCATTCTTCTGAGCGCGAAAACTCACTGAATTTGGAGTATTTTTTTAGTTGGCCCAAGCATGGCTGAGTGGCAAAAATGAAAAATGTGCTGAATCGACGTGACAATTATTTCACAGTCTAAATGATTTTTTGTAAATGTTCTATTATTATTTATGGAAAGAACACAACCTCATCTATGGATTCTCAAAATTTCAGATTTTTTTACATGTTCGTCTGAGCACAAAAAATCGCTAAAGTTGCCTCTTGCAAAATGCTTGTTTCGTTGTGCCTGACCTCCCTGTCTTGAGAAGACGGGACTCAACGCTTGGGCCTGAGGGCCCTTTTGCAGTTCACATACCCTGACTTCTTTTTGGGGTCCGCTTCTACCCGAGGACCGGTCCAATGCCCCCCACTTCCTTTTGGGGTCCACTTCTACCCGAGGACCCGTCCTTCGTTTTTCCAAAAGTCCCGGTTCTACCAGAGCTAGCTGTAGGTAGTCCACAATTTTGGCAAGGACCGGTCCCCCAAATTTTTTTGCCCCCTAAGAACCCACTTTGCATCCTGGTCGCCCGCCGCCAAAAATGCGACACCTTGACACAAACGCGAAAGCATACTATACCGCAGCCTAAGGGCTGCGAATAAATATTGTGTACACCACCTACGACACTTGCGTCACGCCGCCGCCAATTCGGGCTCGCGCAAGTGGTCACCCTCAAAAACCATACCTTTACTATTTCAACGGTACCCCCCCCAACCATTATCTGTGCCGAAATCCATTTACGCATACCCCTACCGAGGTCGTAGGAGGCTCCCACTGACAAACAAAGGACCCAACGGACTCCATGCTACTCGACTCAAGCGAAACCTTAGGCAAGTTAACAGATATCACCTGTAATCATGACACTGATAGTCCGCCTTGACGTCGACCACGACAATGTCGGCCTCTACACGCGCGCACTGCCGATACTAATAAAAAACTAATCTTTCCCCAGTCCGCATCGCTCTACAAGATCACTAACCCTGCCGCCTGATTGCGATGCCGCCGTGCGCCTCAAAGTGCACGCCCACACACTCTCTGACCTAACCATACACTCGCTCGCCTTTCCAACTTTTGAGAGTCGGTTGGGGGCTGGGTAAAAATAAACACGCCACTGCCTCAATTATCAGCACAAGTGCGGCTCATGGGAGCTGCAAAAAACACGAATAGATACCCTTGTAAGAGTATTTGTGCCAACACTGCAATTGTGAAAAATGGGGTGTGTGCATCTCCATTCATTATCTTTCACTGCTGGTGAGTAGTGCGAGGAGGTCCATTCTCCTTGCCTCCCTCACCATCCTTTCTCCCCTCTTGTGCAGTTTCCCAGGGTTTGGTCAAGGAGTTGTGGAACCAAAAAACAAGTTAGGGGANATTCTCCTTGCCTCCCTCACCATCCTTTCTCCCCTCTTGTGCAGTTTCCCAGGGTTTGGTCAAGGAGTTGTGGAACCAAAAAACAAGTTAGGGGAAATTAATCACCGTCCGTGAGTTAGGGTGCTCTTGAAACTCAAGTATTTTCAAGTGATGTCGAACGAGGCCCAAAGGCGACTCCCACACTTGATGATTTCAAGAGTGTTTTCTGACAACTCTAGAACCTGTTTTCGGCTGGCCTATTATATTGTAACTCTTGAATTTTCACGTCTAGAGTAATGGAGCGAGACCACTACCGGTATGTGTTGGCCGGTTCCATAGGCGGGCGGGGCCTCGCCGCACCATTCACCAAATGTGCAAAATGAGAATGAATCCTCCGCTTCGGCGATGCCCATAGTGACAACGGCAGCAAACCTAGAGCCAGGAAGATAGTGGACAGGACACAGCAGGAGACGAAAGTGCACTACAGAACGTAGAAGGAAGTGCACTGTGGAACGTGGATAGAAGATAGAAGACTCCTGTGCGAGAGGGATAGCAGAGTGCGCTAAGGTGGGGAAGAGAGAGAGAGAGAGAGAGAGAGAGAGAGAGAGAGAGAGAGAGAGAGAGAGAGAGAGAGAGAGAGAGAGAGAGAGAGAGAGAGA